TCTTCTCATTATCTGCTCATAACTCCAGTACTATTATTTGCATCTGCTTAGCTAGTTTCTCAAAATCTCTGTTGATAGAGGTGCCAGGCATGTGGTCTGTTAGCAGGACACCATCTTCCCATCCGGGACCATTTTTTAAACTTTAGTCAAAAGTTTTACAGCAATTTTATAGAAATATTTAATGAAAATTGACATTTATTAAATATGGGTTTTTATACTTCATTTAAAAAATATTTTAAAACCCCTAAATATGCAGAAAATGTATGATGATACCTTATATGTATTAATAATAATCAGAGAAGCTGGATTGTATGAAGAAGAACGTGGTATTAGGATTGGAGGAAGACAACCTCCTTAGAAGCGAGAGTGGCTGGACTTTGTCTCTTGTTACTTTGGTGATAATGTCAGAAGGGACCCATCCCTGGAGAAGGATATCATCCTGGTTGAAGTAGAGGGTCAGCAGAAAAAGGGAAGACCCTCAATGAGATGGCTTGACACAGTGGCTATGGTGATAGAAACAATTTTTTTTTTTTTTAATTGTGATTTGGGTGAAAGTTTATAGAGCAAATTCATTTTCCACACAACAGTTCATACACATTTTGTTTCATGACATTGACTGCAATTCCCACAATGTAACAGCTCTCTTCACACTTCCTCCCTGTAGTTATCTCTTCCCTGGGTCCATCCCTCCCATGCACTTCCACCCCTTGAGTGGTCATCCTGTGCAATCACTGTCCTTCTGTTCTCCCAGGATTGATCGCACCGAGGAGTGTATCTACCTGATGTAAATGTTCACTCCAGATAACTGTCTGTTGTTTGACTGGAAGCCACAGGAGTGAGTTCAGTTCCAGCCCTGAGGGGTAACTAGGGGCCACAGTCTCAGGAGTCTCACAAGGCTCTATCAGACCAGCAAACCTGGTCTCTTTTTTTTTTTTTTTAAATGATTTGGAGTTTTGTTCCACATTGTTCTCCCACTCTATGCAGGATCTCCTTTACCGACCCCCCTCCAAGTGGTTGACAGTGATAGCCATGTACCATCTGGTTCTTCTGGTCTTCTGGTCATATAGGTTGAAAATAGCATGATCTACCAGTCCTTTGGACTAATTGTTTCCATGCATCTTTGGTTTTCTTCATTTTTCTTTGCTCTGGATGAGGAGAAACCCACTGTTGCATCTAGATGGCTGCTTGCAAGCTTTTAAGACCCCAGTTGCTGCTCACCAAAGTAGGATGTAGAACAATGTTTTAGTGTAGTATACTATGGCTATTGAGCTTGATGTCCCTTGCAACCATGGTCTTGAGCCCACAGGTCTAACAACTTGCTCCATCAAAGTAGCTGGCTGTGGCTAAGAAGCCACCACAGCCTTGCCCCTTGTCGGCTCTATTAAACACCCGCCCATTCTTACAGCTCATACAAATATGCATGTAGAAAATTGTCTGCTAACCCTATACATGGTCATGGGCACACTCCCCCCTGCCTAGACATATCTGATTGTTCAGCCTGTCCACCCGTCTCTCCCCCCATAGATCAATGCTTGCCATCACTGGCAGCACAGTACTGTATATGCAAAAGAGTTCATCTTTGTTGTCTATACCTCCCGTGTACCCCTCTATGTCTTCCTCTTCCTCAATGCCACTGTGTTGATCACTCATTTTTGGTACATTGCCCTTCCCTTCACGCAAATCAATACTTGTATCTACCTATCTAGCAGTGTTCCACACCCCTCCCCTTCCATCCATGTTGGAATTTATTTTTTAGTGCTCATGTTATAAATGGGTAATTCAAGGTTCCAGGTCAGCCCAAAAGAGGTTTTTAAATGCACAGTTTACCTTAAGATTTCAAACATGCTTACACACTATTTTTAAAAAATTGTTTCTATTTCAAAATACATTCATAGTCCAAGTAAGAGCATCTGGTCACATCTTCTCTCACTTGGGACACATGGGGGTAAATTGACATGTAGGCACTAGAAAATAGCTTAGGTGTTGGGAGGTGGTATATTCTTCTCGGCAGTAGTAATTTATTGTTTACAAAAGACAAGGCAAGTAGCTCATCAGGGGTTCAAAATTGTACGACTGGAAAGCAGTAGATTCAGACTCTTAATAGCCACATGCCATTCGTAAGTGAAATGTGTCTCAGTTGGAATATGTAGTTTGCTGATGTTTCATTTTCTCTTTTATATACCTCAACTGAGGGACTGATTTCTTTAAAAACTAATTTATAATTCAAATATCTACCTCAAATTTACATTTAATATTTTAAACTTAGAATATTAAGATTTGCTGATATTCCTTGATAAAGTAGTATCTTTAATTTTTAAATTTTTTTGTGGGTATACTATGTACAATGTTGTATATTTTCATATTTTTTTGGATAAACTAATTACTTAATTGGTATTTTCTCAGAAAAGTTCATTTGTAAGTTTAGAATCAATCATTAGGATGCTGTTGTGGTAAGGCATTTGGCTACTAACCTGAAGGTGAGCAGTTTAAAGCTACCAGCTTCTCCACAGAAGAAAGATGAGGAAGTCTGCTTCCATAAAGACAGAGCCTTGGAAACCTTATGGGGGTCCCTATGAGTCAGAGTCGAATCAGTGGCAGTGGGTTTTGGTTTTGTTGTCCTTACTTGCCATTGAGATGATTCTCACCCATGGTGACCCTACATGTACAGAATAGAACTGTGTTCTGTAGGTTTTCGAGGCTGTGACTTTTTGGAAGCATATTGCCAGGTCTTTTTTCTGAGACACTTCTGGATGGGTTTGAAGCTCCAGTTTTTTTTGTTAGTAGGACAGTCCTTAACCATCTCAACCACGCAGGGAATCCTAGAAAGCAGTTTGTCATACCTGAGAACTTTTTTCATCTTACTCTGTTCCTTTGAAGGGAGTTTTGTGGGAAGGAAGGTTAGTTAAATCATCTTAGTGGGCACAATTCATTGAGGGAAGGGCTTGGTACAGTCATTTTTTAAATAAAATAATGAAGTCCTCAGAGCTTTACTGTTAATGTAGGTTTTCTGAGTAAACCAAAAAAAAAAAACAAACCTCACTGCCATCAAGTCGAATCCGACTCAAAGCGACTACTCTTTGGTTTTCTGAGGTGGTATCTCTACAGAAGTGAATTGCTTAGTCTTGAACTGTCAGCCTTCTAGTTAGCAGTCAAATGCCTTAGGCACTATGCCACCAGAACTCCAGAATATATACCTTTAAAGTGTAACACTAACAATGGAAAAGAAATTTTATGGCAAATAACTGGTATTCTTTCTGTGCAAGTAGGTAAGATTTACCCAGAATTTGAAATTGTAAATGAGAAAACTAGCATTTGTTATCTGTTATATATTACTCTGAAGAATCTCTTTTTTGAAAAACTTTTGACTTGTATATCTTCATATTAATAAAGGGGCAACCAAAATTCTAGTTTTCCCTGTAGTAGTAACTATTTATGAACTATATAGTAACTTTTGTTTTTATTATCAAGTAATATTCATGCTGTGAGATCGTGCTTTAGATTTTACTCACAGATCCTTAAGCCCAGGGAAGTTCTGATAAATCTCAAAGGAACATAGTTTACAAAACTTCCCACCTCTTTTCCCACAGATCACTAAGTTGTTAGCTTGCTTTTTAACTCAGAAATACATGTTTAAGGGTACTAAATATTTTTTGATTTTCTGAAGTGTGACATCAAATGAAGGGACTTGGGGATCAGTTGAATAAAACATGTTTACAGTATATGCACTTTTCTTGCATTATAAAAGACCATGCCTAATTTCTTCACTAGTGTGTGTATGTTTAAAAGGATTTATTTTGCTTCAGATTTCTCTAAAAAGAACTTAGGGTCCCTCAATATCCCCTCACTAGTATTTTATTGAAAATAGATTTACTTGTCTAGTAGATGATTGTGATCTTTCTAAAATCACAGACAAAATGAGACGGGAAAAACTCAAGAGACGGCAAAATTCAAATTTAAGTCTTAAACGTATTTGTCCAGAATTGCAGTCAGGACTTGAATGATTAAAACAGTAATAATCAGATAATTGGATGTTAAATCTGACAAAGAGCTTAAGCATTTAATTGCATGTCCTTTCTCTGAAATATAAAGTATTCTTTTTTAGTTGACTTTGGAGAGTAAAAAATAAAAGAATATTGGAAGATGAAAAGTTTTAGTGTAATTAGTATTTCATATCTGAATTATAGCTTTATCTTTAGTGAAATATCCTTTATAATTTATTTTGACATATGATAACATTTTGCTTATTGGAAATAATGTATTTCAACTATTCACTATTTGGCTTAGACTTGTCAGAAAAGGGAAATATTTTATCTATCTTCCTATTTATTTATCTGTATCTCTTTCTAAGCACCAAGTACTGTCTTTCGCTCTCTTGTTTTAATAAAAGTCAACATCTGGTGTTTCTTGTAGTTTCTCTAACGTAAAATATTTAGCTAAGGTCTTTTTTTATATAAATATATGTTTAAAGTGTATCTCTGGATGTATTTGACCTTTAAAAATTTAAATAGCAAACTAGCATTCTATTAGTTTCTTGCCTCTAAATTTTTGTAGCATATATAATTTTGAAATTGAGTGTTGTTGTATCCAAAAAATGGTTTGAAATTGAAATTTAAAAGTGTACTATATAGTTAGTCAGCATCTGCTTTTTATAAGTTGCCTGCAAAGACAAAACCCCTAAATATGAGCATAACTGCCCAAGATCCTAAATAATGTTAGTATGTTATCATTTTACAGAAGACTCCATTTTAAGCTATTTTTGGGGAAACTACTTTAAAAAATAATATTTTAAATTACTTTTCCATTTTCATTTATGTTATTATAGTTTAAGAAACATTATTAGTAGTTTAATTTAAGTAGAAATTAGATATGTATTGCATAAAAATGTTAAATACTTAAATGAAACTTCTAATATATGTAATCATTATATATACTAAGGAATTCAAAGAGAGTACAGATGGTCACCACATGATTTAAATCATAGTCGCTTTTGGATTTTGAACAACTTAGGGATGTTTTTAATGAAGAGGAAGGTACAAATCAAAATGGCTCAGAAAAATAAAATAGAGTGTATACAAGAATGGAATACATTTTAACACTTAACACATTGAATACAATTTTTCTTTATACTAAAAACTTTTAACGTGTCCATGTTTTTAATCTTCTTTTGAAGGTGGAAAAATAGTCCAAAGAAACACTTTTCACAGTTGAAGGAGCTTGTAGGTTCTGTTTCAATGAAGTCCCAGTAGTTTTATTTCAAGCAGCTTATACTGTAGAGTCATTATCAAATATCTTGCTTTTTAAGGCCTGTAGATTGTGTTGAATAAAGTTCTCTGTGCCATGAGCTTCAGAGAATCTGGAATCGCCTCTCCTAACAGACCAGTTTTTCATTTTTATTGAATTCTGAATTGTGTCCGATGTAAAGTAGTAAATTATAGGGTCAAAACAACAGTTTGTAACAGCAATGCAGAGAGTGATTGGGTACATTGTCCTTACTGCTGCCACTACTGAGCAATTAACAAATGTTTGTGTTCTCATAAGTGAATATAAAATAAGGTTGATATTGTAAGGCACAAAACAGAAACAGAATATGACCAGATGTACAAAAATCATTTTTAAAACTTTAGTTTTGTTTATTTTGCTTCTACTTAATGTAACAGGTTTATTTAAAGTTCTTAGCACCATACTAGAACAAGTTACATTTAATATCAGAGGAATAAAAAACCCCACTATTTCGATAAAAATTACAATCCTTGAGAGATATGTTTTCCATGTGGCTTCTGGAAAATTTTCAAAGCAGGCTTCTGAGGTATTGTTACCCTGAGAGTGGGTAGACTGAAAAAAAACTGCTGGAGCACTTCCTCCAAGCACAGTTAACCACACAGCAATGCAAACGATCTTTGCATTTCGTTTGGTTCTTAGAGTCTTTGACTTAAAGGGATAAAGGATTGCCAGAAATCGATCTACGCTAATACAGGTTAAGAACAGAATGCTTCCGTACATATTGGTATAAAACAGCATCACTGAAATCTTACAAAGTAAATCTCCAAATGGCCAATTCCGTGTTGCAAAGTAAAAAATCCTGAACGGTAAGGTGAAAACAAAAAGCAAGTCTGACATGGCCAAGTTAATCATGTAAGTTGTAGTTTCATTTCGAACTTTGAGCGTGCAGATGAAAATGTATATTGCAACACAATTGGATATTAATCCCAGAACAAACACCATACTAAACATGCACCCATACAAAGTGTACTTAAAGGAGTCATCATAGGAGCAGTGTGAGCTGTTAATGCTTACCATTATAAAGGCACTTCCAGTTTACAATGGTGAAGTCCCTTTGTCAGCTGCAGTCTCCTGTGGCATTCAGATTGTGACCACTTTATAACCTCCAGTTCACTTACAAATTCTTTAGCTCTTGGGGTGGCTTTATAAGTATTTCCTTTTTCTCTGAAATCTCTGAAAGAAGCATGAAGTTTGTGGCCGTAAAGTTTCCACTGGGTCCTTTAATGGGAAAACATTCTTATCTTCTAGTCTCCAGAAAATCCGTGAATCCAGAGCTTGGTTAACCGATGAAAAACTATTTTGAAATGCAGTCAGTAAAACCAATCCATTGGATCAAAGAAAAACTGCGTTCAGAGACGGCAATAAAATGAGTAGTTTTGTAAGCTTGTATTTCAGTCGTCTAGGCAAATATTCCAAAATTAAAGTTTCTTTAAGCTCCGGATTGTTTACATTGAAGTTACCAATCTTACTTTGTTTTCCAGTGCAAAGTTTCAGAGACTTAAACATTCCCAATTTATTCTCATTCACTTCTTGTTCCTTTTAAGTGAGATTTTCTTTTTTGGTAATTCCTGCAGTGGATCTCAGATGGTAGTAAGTAGAAGTGTCTTTTAAATGTTCCGAAATAAATTCCTAAGCGTGTCAGCGCTTGCTGAATTGAGGCCTTTTCCTCAATTGCCAGCTGTGTTGTGTGATAGGCTTTCTCTGAAGTGAAAAAGAATGGCTTGCTAGATTCGTAATATGACATCACAGGAAGAAGAGGCTGGGCTTGGACAAAGAATGGTTTCAGCTCAGTTTGTTTGCAGTTCCTTTAAATCTGATAATGTGTCGGCTGGGAGTATACCTAGGAGGCTAGCAAATGGTCATTGACTGTTTAGCTGAGCTGTCTGCCCATTAATTCTGCAGCTGACAAAGGGGCTTCACCATTGTAAACTGGAAGTGTCTTCTCGGGTACTGAGGTTGCCTTTCAGGGACAGTTGTGGCTTTTTTCTTGGTAATAATTGATTAAATAATAATAATAATAATAATAATAAATTAGTGTTAAGTTTATTACCCTCTTGTTCAGTTGTTTTTGTTTGAGATGTGATACTCTTGTTTTTTTAGATAAATGCATATGGTATGTATCTAAATTGAAATTGTTAGTTTTATCTTAATACACAATTTTTAAAAAAAGCTAGTTAATGACTCTAAAGGAGAGAGATTTAACCTTGAGATATAGAAAAAATTTGTCCGAGGGACTGGTGGTAGTTCTGCTACTTTTGGCTTCTGTGTTTCTTAGTTAATGCTGTTATTGTTGTTATGTGTCTTCGAGTCGGACCCGACTCATAGTCACCCCTCCTTGGGTTTCTGAGGTGGTATCACTACGGATGTAGATTGCCCAACCTTCCTTCCAAGAAGTGGCTGGTGGATTTGAACCTCCAGCCTTCTGGTTAGCAGTCAAGTGCCTTAGGCACTACACTGATTAATGCTACTCAAGATTAATTTCATTGGTGTGATTGTGAGTAGCTATAATTCTGGGTCTCTTTAGTTTCAAGAAACAATTTTCTAACCTTCTTTCTTCTTTCTTATGAAATTTAAATAGTATTTTTAGAGCTGTTTCGATTTTTAAATTACTCCTCCTCACCAAAGAATAAATTGAAGAATTTTTGTATCTGGTCTGTTATTAATCTCTTCATATTTTTAGTCACAAAATAAAATTGTATCTTTAAACAAATGTGCCCTACCCTCCCAAAATTGATTTAAACCAGTTTTAGAGAGTTAAAAGTTCTACTACATGGCTAAAATTTAGGTTCATAATTTTAGTTTCATTCTTCCCATTCCTTCCCCACACTCCATAATATGATATTAGCTATATATTGGAACATGGTTCAAATTTTGTCATCATTTAAAGGTCCTGTGAGTGATTTATCAATATATTTAAAATATACTCATTTTTTTAAAGCCCAAAGAAATCAGAAGAAAGTAGAAAGAAAGGAGGTGAGGAGATATTTGAATATATATGTTACTTCCTTAAGGTTTGAAGATATCATAAACTCTGAGGCACATATTTTTCTTATTGTAAGCTATCATTTTTCAGAAAAGGCTAGATTCAGTTGTGTTTATTTTTACTTGTGTTGTAGATTTTTAATTTGGTTTAGTTTTTTCTGAAATTCTTCACTGACCGATTATGGAAATTAAGAGAGTTTAAGGGTAATTTACTGTTCCTTCATAAATTACTTCCACTGCCATCAGGTTGTTTCTGACTGATAGTAACTCTTTTAGGATAGGGTAGAACTGCCTCATCGGGTTCCATAGCTGTAAATCTTTACAATAGCAGACTGCCTCATCTTCTCCCTCAGAGCATCTGGTGAGTTCAAACCTCCGACCTTTTGGTTAGCAGCAGAATGCTTTAACCAGTGTCTCATCAGAGCGCTTTATAAATTACTTAGCTAATTTAGAAGTAACATGTTACAGCAACAAGTCTTGTACTGTTTTTATGCCTTCTTAATTTGGACCACTCATGCTCAGCAACTTTTGTTGTTTGTGGGTAGATGCCCCCTGAAATGTAATCTATTTTTATTGCTTGAAGTTGGAAATTTATCTGCAGTCAAGCAACACAATAGAAAATAGGTGTTACTTACAATTAATAAACTTAAAGTTACAAGTTTAAAGGGCTGAACTTTTTCATACCAATATGAAAAATTTTCCGTTACAGATATTTTAGAAAAAGACAAAGTCTTAGTAATATGCTTTCAAATTGATGGTCTCCTCTTTAGTCATCATTAAATAATGAAATGTAAGCAGTTACAAGGAGTTGTTGGTACTGAAAAACATGTTTAATTCACTATTAGTACTGTTACACTATTAGTGTGTTATTCCTTAAGCTTATATTTCTAGTTCTTAGCACGACTCCTGGCCCTTAGTAGATATCCATGTGTTGCTGATGAATGATTCATGTCAATGAATTTCAATTTTGTTGAAAGCTGTTGCTATTGAGGAATAGCAGTAACAGAGGGGCTGTCTGACCAGAAAGAAGATAATTGCCTACTAGATTTTTAAGATATTTAATATTCTAACTAAAAAACCAAAGTAAAATTTGATACCTTGAAACATCTTTATGTTAGGATTAAAAACTGTAACTACTTACAGAGAGTTTTAAAGACATTCAGGGAGTCAGTATTTTTAATAGGTGCTTGGATTAATATTAGGAGCTCTGGTGGCATAGTGACTAAGGCATTTAACTGCTAACCAGAAGGCTGGCGGTTCAAACCCACCAGTCACTCCTTGGATGGAAAGTTGAGCAATCTACTTCCGCAGTGATACTGCCTTGGAAACCAAGGAGGGGTCACTACGAATTGGGTCCAGCTCATCAGCAGTGCATTGCATTTAGTTGTTGTACTTAATAAAATAATAATAGTTATGGTCTTGAATGTTGTTGTTGTGTAACAGCAACAACAACATTCAAGACCATAACTATTATTTTATTGTGATATTTGTACACTTTAGGAAGTTAAGTCTGGGAATCAGTTTGCCTCTTATGTGGAATTTTGGGGGGAGGGTAAAATAACATGTACAACCAATTTGATGTATAGTGAATCTCATTATGCAACTCACACCACTTTTCAAAATTCAGTTACTTCAAGAAGCTAGGTAAGTTCTTGAGTAAATTCTTGAGTTTCTGAGTAAATTTTAACAACTGCTGTGGCTTTGAGGTGGCATAGTGCCTAAGGCATTTGACTGCTAACCAGAAGCAGGTGGTTCAAACCCACCAGCCACTCCTCAGAAGAGAGACTGGGCAATCTACTTCCTTAGAGATACTGCCTCAGAAACCCAAGGAGGGGTCACTATGAATCAGAATTAACGCTACGGCAGTGAGTTTGGAGTTTAGTGACTTTGAGGAAGCAGGAAATTTGATTTATCCATGTCCAATTCAAAATAGGATAAATTTTGAAATTCAAAATTCAGCAATGGCAGTGGGTTTTGGAGTTTTGTTGAATGAATAAGCCTTTCCTGAATACCTACTGTGAACAAACACCATGTAAGTAGACTCCTCAACCATCTTCCCTTCCTCTTCTTTTTTATCCTGTTCACTTTTGGCCTTGGCAGTGATACCTGTTTGTATCATGTCCCTTCTTCATTCTCACTGCCACCTTCTTGGCCTAACTCAGTCACTCTTATCTATATGAAAATTATAACATCTTATCTTGCCTCCTTATTTCTAATCCTGCCCTTTTCTGTCCCACCCTACCCCCTAGATTGTCACAGAACAACTCATGAATAAATCGACTATTTATTCATAAATCAACGATTTATTCATTTATACTCTTCCTGCTTCCAAATAGAATCTAAAGCAGATTGTAAATTTTAAAATGAGCATACTATCAAAACTAATGGAATGAAACATTTAAGTTTGAGTATTTTGTTATATGTAAATTATGCCTCACTTTTTAAAAAGTTTGAAAAGAATGTGTGGTACAGTTAAAAATCTAAAATGTAAGAAAGGTAGGAAAATTATTCTAAGATTATTTATATTCATTAATCTAAAAATTATTCACTTCAGATGTAGCAAGTGTTTGTAAAAAACAACAAAAAAAGGTATTCTTAAAACATAACTCTATTAACACATTAGTAAAAGCATAATTTGCTCTATAAATGGTCACCCAAACCATAATAAAGTGTTTGGAAAAAAAAAAAAAAAAAGAGCCAAGACCTCAGGAGGAGAGAGGAGGGTGGGAAGGGCAGCATGAGAAATGATAATGCTGGAAAAATGTAGGCTAAGGGCAACACCTGCATTTGACACGAGACAAAAAGAACTTTTTATAAAAAGGAAATTTAGTGGATTATGTAGTTCTTACTTAATGAAAAGAAACATTTCAGATTAGTTAGGGGAAAAATTTGCTTTATCTCAGAAATTGTGAATCTTTACGTATGAACCATTAAATAACCAATTCAGACCTTTTTGTTTGTTTGTTTGTTTTGTTTTTAAGTCAGAAATATTTATCATTTGCTGTTTCTTGTTGATCTTTAGTTTAAGAACAACACCACATGTCAATTTGTGGTTCTGGGGAAATATTTTATCCACTGATAGATTAATACAGCCTGATTATATATGATAATTTGGTTTAATGCTGAGTAAATTTGATAATCTAGTCTGAGGACCTTGGAGCTTCTGAAACTGCTCTGTTATATAATTTTGTCTCTGCTAGGACTAGATTCATAACTTTTTATCAGATTCTCAAATAAGACTGACTGCAAACAGTTAAGAAACAGCTCATCTAAAGAAATAATGGATTAGCAAATCCTGCAGGCTATTCCTGTGGAATATCCGAATCCTTCATTTTGAATGTTTTTGTCTGTGGACAGAGTAGAAGGAATCTAGATTATTAGTTACTAGTACAGATTCTTTATGAATGAAATAGTGATTGCATATGTAGTGACTAACATATAAGTCCGTAAACTTTATTTTTTAATAGGGAGGCATGAAAGTGTTGGGTAAAGTGCCCCAGGCAGGGAATCAGAGGAGGTGATAGGCAGTCACTTGATCTTTCTTAGAGTCTGATTCCTTGGCTGTAAAATGAGGGTGTGAGACTGTTCAAAGGTCCTTTCCTGCTTCTTTATTTGATTCTGATTCTCTGAATACTTTGAATGCTTAAGCTACCACGTTGATTTTTTTTCACCTTTAGGTATGACAGATTAAGGAGTCAATTTTCATTTTTTATGT